AATTCGAAACAAACAAAGCCGAACAGGTTCATTTCATGCAACAGTTAAGGGGTAATCTCGTAAAAAAGTGGAAAGCTAAGGGCAACGCGTAAAGGTTGTATGGTAATGCTTATCCGAAAGCCAGCTAAGCTAAGGAAGTGGTGTGGTCGGACAGCAGTGTGCTGTCTGGGTCACGCTCACCGAGTCAATCCTCTCTCTCTCTCTCTCTCGTGATTTTGATTAATTTTAAAACTTAATCCAAAAGTAATTATTTGATTAATTTTAATTAAAAAAATGCCCTTCACAGTGTTTTCCTTTTCGGGAGAACCAAACGCGTACTTCACCTTTTACCAATCCCCAGCTGTCATTTATTATCCCACAGCTCATCTTATCTCGTCCACTTCCTCCTATTAAATTTAGGGATATTTACGTCTTTTATTTTGAATTTATTAAAAAAAATATACTTTTAAATTAAAATTAATACTCAAATTTATATTTTTTTCACAGTTAAATTTTAATTTTAAACTTAAAAATACTTAAAATACCCTCGAATAAAAAAAAACTTTAAACTTACAATTTTAATCTAAAAAATATACAAGATACTATTGAAATGGATTCTTTTGTGTTTTAAATTTTTATTGTTTATTTTTCTCTTCTCTCTGTTTTTTTTTTGAGATAATTTTATCACTTTAAAAATTAAAACTAATTATTGACTGAAATAAAGTATAAATTTATATATTAAATATAATTTAAATATATATATTTAATTATATTCAAAATTAAAAATATATATTTTAAATAAATCTAAAATACACGTATAAAAATGTAAATATTCCTTAAATTTATCCACCAATTCTCTTAATTACCCCTACTTTCTACTTTTTACCGGATAGCATCTTTTATGTATCTTCCATAACATTAGTATATATGCATATTGCTTTTGCTCTCCCATTAAGGCATCCATTCTATTTGCGCACGTGACTTTTCTATGTAAAGATCGTTAGATATTTTTATTGAATATGTGCTTTTTAGCTTTTTATTTACTTGTTTTAATGTTTTATTTAGTTGATGAAATTTTTTAAAATTTAAGCATCGTTTATTTTATCGATTTGAGTTTTAAATTTTTATAGTTAAAAATTTTTAAATTATGTCACCTTAAAGTGAGCTTTTTATGTTAAAAAAAATGAAATGACCTTTTGTTTGTGTTGGCTTTATATATCTTTGTTGCGCGTCAAAATCTGTTACATTGAGTAGTCAAATGGAGTTTTCTTGCGGCCTTGAAAAACGCATATTAAGTTGATCATGCATTAAACAATAACGACAACATCAATAATAACAACAATAATACTAATAATAATTTATTGAGGAGAAAGTGAAGCATTATTGTGAAGATGGGATCAATTAAAGGTTGTATTTATTTTTAGCTTTTTTTCCACTTCAATTAGTTCATTAACAATAATCACTACTATTGGTTATGAACATGCTTATGGCATTTGGGTAGAGTCGCCACGTCCATATGACATTTTTTCTTTCATGTTAAAATTTAGAATCCAAGGATTTGAGTAATCAGATATCAACTTCAAGCAAAATTTTGATACCACTAGGTGGCATATTATTGGCTACAAGACACACAAACGAAAAATAAATAAATATCGTTATGAAAGTCAACCTCGTTCACTTTGCGAATTCGAGTTTTCAATTTAAGTTGAGTTTGTGACATTTTATGAGAGCTTTTTACTGTAGTAGAAAAAGTTAAATGTGATATTTTTTTGAGAGCTTTTTACTGTAAAAACTTAAAATTAAAAATTAAAATCAGTAAAATAAATGAGGCCGAAAAAATTAAATGTGACATTTCTTGTAACTTTGCTTTTATTTATACAAATGCATTTATTATACGTAGAGCCCTCTTTAGTGGCCTCAGTGTACTAGATCTTTCCATATATACATGTATAAAAATAAGTACATCCTCAAAATACTCTAAGAAAATCGAACCAATTTGACATGACATCTACTATTTCATTTTTTAATAGATGAAAGACAAAAATTCAACAATATTAATGAGAATACGAATATTGTGATCACTTTTTCGAAAAGTTTTTTCAAAGAATTCAAGCGACAGATTAAATGATCTCCACCATAATCTGTTTAAAAAAGATTAACAAAAAAAAAAAAAAATTACGGAAGTACAAAACTGGATATGTTTTATTACCATCCACTCGCATTTAAGACCAACATTTTTTTGGCTAAAAGCGAGAAAAAAAAAGAGAGGAAAATTTAGAGTCTGTTTGGTTAAAGGATTTATTATTTGATTCGAATTATAGTTCATGATTTATTATAGTATTTTTTTCACAAAAAATACACATAAATAAAAAATAATTTTAATCTCATGATTCTAATCCATAAAAATATTATTTATTTATTAATTTGAACAGTGTAAGCCTCCTGGTGTACAGATAACCACACTTTAAGCCATTAAGGTCCCTAATGGGCTGCGGCACGTAAATTAATTAATTAAGCCGTTACTTTCCACGTTTTATTTTTGTTTATTGTTGGAGATAATGAAATAATATTCTAATTGGTCTAATAAATTAATGGAGCCTAGAGAGCCTAATCCCTACTTATCCTCATTTGACTAAGACTCCATCTAGTATTAAATTAAAAGTTATTCAAAGTTAAAGGAAATTCATTGGTTGGGACAAGTTAAAAAAATAATTGGGCATGTAGAAGCCTGCTTCCCCACTAAATGTTTAGGTGTTTTAGTTAGGTTAGCCAATCTATCACTAATCACTCGTTTGATTTATTGATTGATTATATTATATTAGTAAAATATATGTACTTTTAACAAATTATCGATTAGAATAAAAAACAAAGTTGTCTTTGAATTGGTCTCTCTCTTTTATGCTATTACCCCCTACATTTCTTAGAGTATTTGCTATATATCATAGCAATTTGTTGTTGGGTCCAACTAAACGTTATCTCTTGTTTATTTCTTTATTTTAAGGGAACTTTTTTCTTAATCGTGTTATCATGTTATTATTATTGTCATGTTATATAATTTATCAAATGATAACTTATGAAGTGCATCCACGCGTATTGTGCTCCTTTTAAATTTAATCCCTATCGATCCCCAAGAACAAATTTTTAAAGCTATTAAGGTCTCGTTCACTTCGCGGATTCGAGTTTTCAATTCGAGTTGAAATGTGACATTTTCTGAGAGCTTTTTACTATAACATCAAATTTTGATGTGACATTTTCTGAGAGCTTTTTACTGTAGAAACCTGAAATTGAAAACTCAAATCGGTGAAATGAACGATACCTAAATTTATAAATAAATACAAAATCACTTTTACAGTTTGATAATTTTGTAAAAGTCACCTTGTATTTTTTGAAAACTGTATGAATACTTTGTATACATTACGTTTCACTTTTCATTTCACCTCTCATACTGTTCAGAATCAAATTAAGTACCAAATTGGCTCTACTAAGTACATGCTTTGTCTTGTTTTTTATCTATAATAATGGAGGCGGTCACTTCATTTTTTAGTTTTAATTGTGTGTCCAATCCGCTAGAGTTAGTACTCCGTGGTGTTGTGTGTGGCTTTTGTGCTATAGGTATTTTAGTTTTAATCAATAGGAGTACTCCGGCAATTATAAATGTATTATCGAGCGAGCCTTATATATGCTCGATAACTAGTGTTCCTTTTCAATTATTCGTTGTTAGTACTCGGTACACGTTTTATCCTTTTAAGCGTTGTACTAGAACTTATTATTGGAATCAATATGTGGTTGGGATTTAGTTTTCTTGTGTTATGAGGTCATTTGAGTTTATATCAACGTCACACTTCCCTGATTTAGAATACCATTGCCTTAAAAATTCACAAGGCTTGTGATTATTGATAATAATAAAAAAAAAAATTCACATTTGAAAGTTTTTTTTAGTAGGTCACATTTGAAAGTTTTTTTTTAGTAGGTCACATTTGAAAGTTGTAGTATAAGAAAGCGTTTGGTAGAAAGGAGAGGGGTGGAGGTAGAGAGATGGAGGGAGAGCTCCAATCTATTGTTTAGTCTGATGGGGAGGAGGAAAGAAAGGAGAGGTGGAGGACGATCCACCAATGAAACGTTTTAAAAGACTAGTTTATTTTTAAAAAATTTAGTGAAATGATAAAAACAACAATATAATAATTAAACACATACTCATTCATTCATCATTTTAACTTACTCTCCCTCATATCAAACAACATAAATGATTATCATAATTCTCTCAATACTTCACATTCCCAGCCTTCAAACTCTTCTCCATCCCTACTCTTCTTCGTCCCTCCAATCAAACATAGTTTAAATGTACAATATAACATCGATAAATTAATAATAATTAAATAATATTTTTTTTGCATGTCCCAACTTAGTCTCAAATGTAGTAGGCCTCGCTTGTTTCTATGGTTTAAATTTTCAATTCGAGTTGAAAAGTAAATTTATGTAAAAGAATAAAATGTTGCATTTCAACTATAGCACAAAAGATTAAATTTGAATTTTTATGAGAGAAACCATTATAATAAAAATTTGAGTTGTGATTTGAACCAAAGAAAATGAACAAGATTCTATTTATCTTGATTAAATAATATCTCGATTAATTATTAAATTTTATGGTTCTTCGGGTATTAATTTATAAAAGTTTAGCAATTGTATGCATATTTTTTTCCCCAAAAATACTGAAACGTAGTTAATTATAAGGGTAGTTCTGTATGTTCCATTAATTTTGTATCAATTGTTAGAAAAGAGAAAAAAGTAATTATTGTGTACGGACGAATAAAGGGCATTTTAGTAATTCAAAAGAGAGTTGAAAAATTTGAAGCGCAATCCGAAAAAACACAGCTCATAATTCAGAAATTTTAAAATGGGCAAAAAAAAAAAAAAAAGGAAAAGAAATAAAAACCGCGGTAAAGCTTTTTTATGGACCCTATCCCCACGTCTCTCTGCGATAATATATATGCAATATATGTGTGTGTATATAATATCAATCTCTCTCCTTCGGATCTCTCATATTTTATTGAAACATCCAGCACAGCCTCCATTCTCTCTCTCCTCTCTCTCTTTCTCTCTCTACACTTTGCGTCGTTCTCAACGTGAATTGCCGCCCCGGTCGCCGAACAACCACCGTCTCTGATCGCCGGACGTTCGACGGGAAGGTAATCCTCGGTTTTCTTTTCTTCTTTTGTTTGATTTTTCCGGTTTCGTTTTGAAATTTCAAACTCGTTTTCTCTCTCTGATCTGCCGCTGGACTTGGCGTGAGTTTTCCTAAATTTTCGTGTGTGTTTGGTTTGGTTGGTGAGGGAGTTTTCCTGATGTGAAAGTGAGAGAAAGGATATGGAAGTTTTGATCCGAGGTGTTTTTTGTATTTGCCTGGAATTTTCGTTTGCTTTGACGAGTTTAGTTTAGTTTAGACGAGTGAGAAATGATATTCGGGAAATTTTTTTTCTTTTTGTCGTTATTTTTGTGAGTTTTTCTCGGGAACCAAACAGAAGGTGAGAGCTTTTGTTCGTTTTGATCCTATTTTGGATCGTCTTCCGAATGATGTGGTATAACTTGACCGTTCTCTTGATCTAATCTCCTCACAAGATCGTTAATTTTTTTCTTTAAAAGATCTTAGATACGAAAAATTGTTCTTTGGATAATTAGTCTTAAAAAAAATTCATTTTATTGTTATTATTTTCAGAAATACAAACTTCGGAAAACCTCTTGGTTATTCTGAGGAAAAGTTATTTTCCTAGTATTAGCTATAAATAGATTAGATGACTTAAGGAGTAGAGATACTATCTTTTGCCGAACTTACCTTGTATAGTACCCTTTCTCAGGCTCTCCGAAAGGGGAAACATGGACAAAAATGAGAAAAGGGTTAGGCATGCCTTTTTGGAGCCGGGTAATCAAATAAAGCGAACGTGCCCAGTATGAATTCTATGGTGGATTATGTGAATGCGAGATTACTTATTTCCTTTCATTTTTGAGAAAACTTGATGTTTTGTTTAATCTGGCTAGACGACTGGAAAGAACAATGATCAGGAGTTGTTTATGAAACAGTCATTTATTATATATCCTATGAGGTTGAGAGAAAATTTAGAAGTATGGTAATTGTTATTTTTTTTCTAGGGCCATGAAACTGTATGGTGCATAAGGTAATTCATAAGAAACTAAGAACATGATATCAATTATTACATCATGCGGTTGTGGTTAACTTTAATGATGTTATGCATATTATTTATTTTGCATTTGTATAATAAACTAAAATCAAACAACAAAGTTTGAAGACTCAAGGTTTTTTTTTTGTCCTCCCAAGCTGAATGCTATGATTCCTACGTAGTGAGGAATATGGGATATTGGACTTATCATCATTATTTTTTAGGTTCCTGGACATCTCTTTTTGTTTCTCTACTTGTTTGATGATCTCAACATTATTACTATTAAGTGAGGAATATGGAGCTCAGTCATCTTGTCTTACTGTACTGAATGTTGACATCGGCATTCTGTCTTTTGCTGCAGGTATTATACATCTCTGATTGCGCAGAAATTTTTTAGCACCAAGTGTTAGCTCTGTATGTCTAAGTTTCATACATGGCATCAAGGTCGTGCGCAAACCTTTTAGATTTGGCCTCTGGAGGCCTATTGGATTTTCCGTGCACTCCTAGTCCAAGGCCCCTTCCAAGGGTGATGACTGTCCCCGGCATTATATCTGATTTGGATGGCGGTAATGATGCGGACTCAGATGCTGCTTCATCTGTTTGTCTAGATCGGAAAATTTTAGTGGCAAACATGTTACCCTTGCATGCAAAAAGGGATCCAGAAACTGCTAAATGGTGCTTCAGTTTTGACGAGGATTCACTTCTGTTGCATCTAAAGGATGGATTCTCTTCAGAAACTGAGGTCATTTATGTCGGTTCACTCAAAGCTGAAATAGATCCGAGTGAACAGGAAGAAGTCGCACAGAAGTTGCTGGAGGACTTCAATTGTGTACCTACTTTTCTTCCCCATGATCTCCAGAAGAAGTTCTATCTGGGATTCTGCAAACAGCAGCTGTGGCCGCTTTTTCATTACATGCTACCCATTTGCCCAGACCATGGTGATCGCTTTGACCGCTCGCTCTGGCAGGCCTATGTATCTGCTAATAAAATATTTGCAGACAAAGTAATGGAAGTGATTAATCCTGATGATGATTATGTATGGATTCATGATTATCATCTAATGATTCTTCCAACATTGTTGAGGAAGCGATTCTATCGCGTCAAGCTTGGATTCTTCCTTCACAGCCCATTCCCTTCTTCAGAAATTTATCGGACTTTGCCTGTTCGTGATGAAATTTTGAGGGGGTTGCTTAATTGCGATCTCATTGGTTTTCATACATTTGATTATGCACGTCATTTCCTCTCTTGCTGCAGCAGAATGCTCGGCCTGGACTATGAATCAAAGCGAGGACACATTGGGTTGGACTATTTTGGTCGCACAGTGTATATTAAAATTCTTCCTGTAGGTGTTCACATGGGCCGTCTTGAATCTGTTTTGAATCTCCCCTTTACATCTGCCAAAATCAAAGAAATTCAAGAACAATTTAAGGGAAAGAAGTTAATTCTTGGAGTCGATGACATGGATATTTTTAAAGGCATCAGCCTCAAACTTCTTGCAATTGAGCAGCTTTTGCAGCAGAAACCAGATCTACAGGGAAAAGTGGTCTTGGTTCAGATTGTGAATCCTGCCAGGGGATTGGGAAAGGATGTCCAGGAAGCTAAAAGTGAGACATATTTAACTGCGAGAAGAATCAATGAAGTTTATGGTTCGTCCAACTACAAGCCAGTAATTTTAATTGATCGTCCTGTCCCACGTTTTGAGAAGTCGGCTTATTATGCTGTAGCAGAATGTTGCATAGTAAATGCTGTAAGGGATGGAATGAACTTAGTTCCTTATAAGTATATTGTTTGCAGGCAGGGGACTCCGTCTATGAATAAAGCTTTAGGCATAGAAGCAGATGCTCCTCGCACAAGCATGCTTGTCGTGTCTGAATTTATTGGTTGCTCACCTTCTTTAAGTGGAGCGATCAGAGTTAATCCTTGGGACATTGATGCTGTTGCTGATGCCTTGAGTTCAGCAATCACGATGCCTGATCCTGAGAAGCAATTGCGGCACGAAAAGCATTATCGGTATGTTAGTTCTCATGATGTGGCTTATTGGTCTAGTAGTTTTGTGAAGGATTTGGAGAGAGCATGCCGGGATCATTACCGTAAACGTTGCTGGGGTATCGGTTTGGGCCTGGGTTTCAGAGTTGTTTCTCTGTCTCCAAACTTTAAGAAGTTGTCAATTGACCATATCGTCTCAGCATATAGAAGAACAAATAGGAGGGCAATATTCCTGGACTATGATGGCACAGTTGTTTCCCAGGCTTCTATAATTAAATCCCCAAGCCCGGAGGTGATCTCCATTCTAAATTCTCTGTGCAATGATCCTAAGAACACCGTGTTTATTGTTAGCGGGAGGGGAAGAAGTTCTCTGAGTGAGTGGTTTGCCCCATGTGAGACACTAGGAATTGCAGCTGAACACGGATACTTCTTAAGGTATGTAAGTTGTCTTTTTGAACCTTTGGCTGCACATGAAGTGTCTTTTCAATTTCTTAGGTCTCTCTCTCCTTTTTTTTGTGTGCAGGTGGTGCAGAACCTCTGAGTGGGAGACCAGTCCCATTGGTGCCGATCTTGATTGGAAAGAAATTGTAGAACCTGTAATGAGATTGTATACAGAGACAACCGACGGATCCAACATTGAGACTAAAGAGAGTGCTTTGGTGTGGCATCATCAAGATGCAGACCCTGATTTTGGATCATGTCAAGCAAAAGAATTGTTGGACCACCTGGAAAATGTACTTGCTAATGAACCAGCCGTTGTCAAAAGGGGCCAGCATATTGTTGAAGTTAAGCCACAGGTATAAACCTCATCTCTTGCCCACACATTGTTTTTCCTCACATATGCCTGCGAGTTTTAAGTTAATGCTGTATTACATGTAGGGAGTAAGCAAAGGTTTGGTCGCCGAAAAGGTTCTTTTGAGAATGGTTGATGATGGGATGCCACCTGATTTTGTGGCGTGCATCGGAGATGATAGATCGGATGAAGACATGTTTGAGAGCATACTAAGCACAGTGTCTAGTCCATCCTTGCCTGCGCCTCCTGAGATATTTGCCTGCACTGTAGGGAGAAAGCCAAGCAAGGCAAAGTATTATCTCGACGATGCTGCTGATGTTGTAAAGTTGCTACAAGGCTTAGCCAATGCTTCAGTCCCGAAGCCTCGCAATCTCGCCCAAATCCAGGTTTCTTTTGAGAGTGCACTTTGAGTTGAAAAGGGTTGGCTGGGATTGGTTCACTGCTTTTGATACGCTGGAGCCATTGTTTTTTAATTAAGGGGATTCCCTTCTCTGAGATGATGATGATATATTATCGGCGATTGATCTTAACATGATTCATCAGTGGAGCTTGCTAATCGCTAATCTGATTGGTCTGCTTGGGGAAAAAAAGCTTATTTTGGTAACATTATCAGGACCTTGGGAAATGACCATTCTTGATTTTGTATATGATGGTGACATCAATCTTGTATTTAGAGGGTGCCCAGCAAAGAGTTGTATTCAGGATTGGTTTTACAGAAAGTCCTTCAGTGGCTATTTACATTGATCTCGGGCCCCCACTGTTAACTTGTATAGATACAATGGTTCTTTTCATAGTAGAAGAAAAATGTCAGTTTGTTCCAATGTTGTCTCTCTGTTCTCTCATCTCTGTTTGTGCCTTTTTTTAAAATCTTGATATTTGTTCGCGAGGAAAAGAGGAATTAAGAAGATAGGATTGACATTTACAATTTGGGTGGCTGCAGATTTCCTCTTTGCAAGATTCTTTCACTATAGCACCGTTGGCCAGAAAAGCTATTCGGATAGGAAAAGATATAAAAGTGAGGCAGTGAGAATCCAGAAAGAGAAAAGATAGAAGGATCATATAGGCTTGAAGGTTCTCCTCTCTCTCTCTCTCTCTCTCTCTCTCATGATGATTTGCAGAGAGAGAAGCTGTTCCATCATCACATGATGATTCATACTTATCTTCATTGGTATAAAGTTCATGCTCTTGAAAATTTTGCAATGTGGGACAAATATCATCAATGGAGAAAGGCAAAAATTTTCAGTACTTTATTGGCAGTAGATTGGCACGTTGTATTCAAGCCAAATTTGGCAAAACTTACAAATAAAAAACATGAATCATATGCACGGCAAGCTCTTCAGACTGGAATCATACAAGGCTTGCAGTGTCTGTATCCTGATGGTATGTACCTCAGCAAGTACAAAACCTATTCGTCACAACTAATAGTGGTCCAAAACATTCTATACGCTTCAAATATTACCCCCAAATATTACCCTTTCATGAAACCACACAAGAAAAAAAAAATCTCAAAAAACATTTAATGGCATTTTACGTTATGATAAGATGTGACAGTGTACAAATATCATGTAACAATCAATTTGACCCAAAGCTACCCTACACTTATTAGTTATTATGCAACAAACTGAGTTTTTGTATAGCTATTTATGTTCAAATAATAATATATCATATTAGTAAAATTCACGTATCAAATTGTAATAAGGAGAGTGATAAAAAAAATGATGCTAAAATTTCTCTTTTGTACATGAGAAACCCTTTTCATCCCGTCGAACCCACAGTGTGGGGCCCACCCCCTAATGAGTAGTGCTTGCAATGGCGATGGGGCCGGCGAGAATAAATAGTATTCCCCTTGATATTTTCATATTATCTTCTCTCTACTAAAGAAGGAACCCGGGTTACTGTTCTTTGAACAGTGCTCGGTCCCTTCTCTCCTTAAATTTTGAGAAAATTTCGTCTGTGTCCTTTTATTATTGCTTTTACCGTTTTGTTCTCGGTTTCTTATTTATTTAGTTATTTTTTGTTGGGCATTTTAGTCATTTCCGTTGCCCCACAAATTACTGCGTTGTTTTGTTTCTCTAGTGTGAAAATGATTGTGTGCGGTGAGATTTATCATAAAGTCCACGTGTCAAAACACAATTAGGCACCTTCTTAAATGCGCTCCACGTGGCACAACACATATCGCCATATAGATAACGTTGCCACGTGTTGCAATTTTAAAGGTGAAGAAGAGTGTGCTCACGTGAAACTGAAGCAGATGATCTCGTGCATCTCCTATTGTGGCCGACAGCCTTACCACGTGTCGTTCTTTAATTCGTTGGAAGAATCAAGCAGCGGGCCCCACCTCCAGTGCTGTTGATGACTTTGTCCCCTGCCAAACTCTGGACGCGCATTTCCTTGCGCGTGCGGTTCACGCGCCAATTGCATCCGCTGACTTTTTAGATCCAACTGCCTGTGATAAATCCTGAATTATTTTAAATTATTATTACTTATTATATTTAATGGATTTATAGCTCGATTTTGTCTGTTTTAACACCAATTTGTGCGAAATTTCTATACGACTTAGATAAAAATACTATAAATAATCAAATTACTTTAAAAAAATACACAAAATAAAATAAAATCACGTCAAATTGAATTAAAAAAATTAAACAAAATAGGTCCATACGGACCTATCGGCGTAATCACTCCACTACCACTATAGACCCTTAAATAATTTTCATTCTTAAAGCTATGCCACACATATCGCACTGCGAGCTCTTTGGGCTGAACCAAATAGAGGTCGGATCATCGTACTCTGACATATTTCTTTTATACCTTTTTTACCCTTTTGTTTCTTTCTTTTTTTAAACAATTTGCATATTAATTATTTTGAATAGATCACGTGCGTTACTTGGAATCATTCATTTTTTTTTTCTAATTATTATTATTTATTTTGTTTATTTATTTTTAAGTGAACAAAAAAATGTGTAAATAATTATGTATACATATGTAATACAATCACGACAATGTGTAAAATTTATTTTGATTGTTTATCGTCATTTATTTTAACCTTTGAATATCATTTTCATATATATATATATATATATATTTTTTTTTTTTTCATTTTACAATGTAATCACTTATTTGTAACTAATTATTATATTATTGTATGTAATCTTACATAAAATAAATAAATAAACAAACATCCGTGCAACATCACGGAGATCTCACTAGTTATATCTATATTTTTATCTATCGTTATCTCTTGATTTTTGAATAAAGAGGGATTGGAAAAAGGCTTTGAAGCTAGCCACCTACCAACTTGTAACTAATAACTATGTTGTTTTTGGAATATCACATGGCATAATTAAAAATATTGGCCAACGTACTATGGGGTGAATGTTGTCATCATCAGGCCCAGCCTGGCCTTTAGCCATTTTTCATGGCTGCTTGCTGGTCCCGTCTCGTCCAAGAGGTGATACTTCTCTCTGGGCCCAGCATAGCCCATCTTTCTCTCTCTTATTTTATTCTCTCTCTCTCTCTAGAGTTTAGGATTAATCACGTCAAAAGTGATGATACTGCTGAACGGTGAAAATTGAGTCATCCTAGAGGACGACCACGTCCCCATTAGCAGTGACCGTCTTAGATTGGTCTAATAATTGACATCATTTTCGACTTGAAAAATAAATACGATTTGGAGAATTCTGATTTGACGCTTGTTATTTTCACTTGCATGTTTCGTTACACGTAAACCGAAATTAGAAACCATAAATCTCAATTATAATGGAAAAAAAATAAAAAGTTCGATTTACCAAACATGTGAGTTACTAATAAAAAATTAAAAACAAAACAGATGGTAATAAATAAATAATAAATATAGTGAAAGAATGTTAAAAAGTGAAATACTTTAGACATGGCGAGGATTTAGGTGGAGAGAATATTGTTGCTGAGCTCTTTAATGAACATGAAAATGTAATCTTTTTTGTAAAAAAAAAAAAATAAAACAGAAAATCTTTTCAGACATCAAAAAAAAAAAAAAAAAAAGGAAAAAAGCTTGATACTCTCTCTCTCTATGAATGAACTTTATTTTCCTTTACTTTCCCATCTCCCTTTTCTCACTCCTTTTCCTTGTCTCTTTCCACACTCTCATTTCACTATACTCAGAAAACCGACTGGTTTTTGCCGAAACCAAAAACCCCTTTTGAGTTGAGCAAAAACCCAGATATAATTTAGGGCTTTCTCTACAATGCAGAGAGCTTGAGGAGTATTATCGAGTTCGCTTTGTGGATTCAAGCAATGGGTCGGAATCTGCTGCTTCTGGGTCTAACCATTCTGGTCATTTTCGGAGGTGTTTCTTCAGCTCCCACTAATGCACCAGCAAGTAAGTCAGTTTTATTATTACTTTTTTTAAAAAAAAAATGTGTTCATTTTTTTGAAGCTTTACTGATTATAGTAATAAAGCTTTAATTTGTGATCTCCTTTTGTTTTACTTTCTGAGCTCGAATATGAAGTTGTATTTACATGTGTTTTTCAGAGCTCATAAATGGGTTTGTGTCAAATGCGGTTTCTATGGCCATGAAATCTCTCTGGTCACTCAAAGCCACGACCAAAACAGGTATAGATCTCTGGTGAATCAGTATTATTTTTTTTGTTTCTTTTTTTTGTTTTGGTTTTGATTTGGTGTGTTTGTGTGTATGGATTGAACTTTATGTAGCGATTACTGGCCGTCCGTTGATGAAGTTTGAGAGTGGATATACTGTGGAGACTGTGTTTGATGGGAGCAAACTTGGAATTGAGCCCCACTCTGTTGAAGTTCTGCCCAGTGGGGAGCTTCTGATTCTGGACTCTGCCAATAGTAATCTTTATAGGATCTCCTCCTCTCTTTCTCTTTGTAAGTGGATTTTGTTTAGTTCTTGAATAATTAAATTAGTCTTTTGTTGTTTACCCGTATAATTATTAGCGTTTGGTTTAGCAAGTTGAAGCATATTTTATCATGTCAAAGAATTTTGACGGGGTTTGGTTTGCTTGTACAAATTTACAGCTCAAGTCGTTTTAGCAGAGTCTAAATGTTGGTTGATGTGTTCTAAAGAAAATATTGAGTTTATTTTGCGATGAGCCGTTGTGTTTTACAATATCAATCAATTGGTTGTGTAGAATGCAGGACTGCTCAATCTGCAAATCTTTTTATGCATTATAATTGATCTATTTGTGCTTTCACGGGTTCTCTATTCCTAATTTTTTTTCTCCTTGAAATTTTTGGAACGCTGCAGATAGCAGACCGAAATTGGTGACAGGATCCGCCGAAGGATACTTTGGACATGTAGACGGGAAGCTGAGAGAGGCAAGAATGAATCATCCAAAGGGGCTCACAGTTGATGACAGAGGAAACATTTATATTGCGGATACAATGAATATGGCAATCAGGAAGCTAAGTGATGCCGGTAAGCTATATACGCTTTATGTTTAAGCATTTCATGTGCCAAATTAAGTTTTGGTGTTTCTTCTCTTTAAGATTGTGGTCTATTGGAGTTGGAATTAGTTATGTGAATAATTTAACTTAAGTGAATTCTACTGGTAGGGGTTACAACCATTGCCGGAGGGAAATGGGGTCGCGGGGGAGGTCATGTTGATGGACCAAGTGAAGATGCAAAATTTTCGGATGATTTTGATGTGGTTTACATTGGAAGCAGTTGCTCCTTACTTGTCATAGACAGAGGAAATCGTGCTATAAGGGAAATCCAACTCCATTTTGATGACTGTGCTTATCAATATGGCACCGGTTTTCCTCTCGGTATACAACACCAACCAAGTTTTGTACTTTTATAATTTGTTAGCACATTATTTAATGGTACTTATTTTCGTTGTTATTGCAGGGATTGCGATGCTTCTGGGGGCTGGCTTCTTTGGTTATATGTTGGCATTACTGCAACGCAGAGTGGGTACAATTGTTTCTTCACAGAGTGTGAGTACTCTTCTTTGTTATGACTCAACATTTAGACGTTAAATTAGCTCTGTTCAGTCTGTTGAGATACTTAACGTGAGCTTCCTTGATTCATTGATAAAGGAAGTTTTACATTTGTTCCACCTAGGCTTTCCTGCAGTGATTAGGGATTGTGTAAGGGTTTCAGGTCAAACGATTTCCAAGAAAATAAGTTGTAAATTATTTTTCATATTTCTGCATTAGATATAGGACAAGTAGATTGAGCAAAGTGTTTACGTTTGCTCACTTTTGCTATTATAGTGAAACAATATCGAAATATTAGATGTCAAGTTCCTATTGCGAGAGAGAGAACATTTTAGTCAGAGGTCGCCTCTTGATAATATGTTATTTATTTTTTCTGGCTTGATGTACTTGACAAAATAGGCTGTTCATGCAGACCTCACCATATGATATCCTTGTCGAAGTAACAGCTTTACTATGACAGGAGTTTGGATGTCTTTTCTGAAATTTGAGAGCGACCTTTTGTTGCTTAAGAAAAGTGGAATCAATTTTCCTCGCATATTATATGATAACCGTGAAGCATTCGTTTACCTTTGTCTTTTGTTGTTTCTAAAGGATCTAAGCTCAGAGAAGACGAGTGCTCAGCAAAGTGCATATCAGAAGCCTATGAAGTCAGTCAGGCCACCTTTAATCCCTACAGAAGATGAGCAAGAAAAGCAAGAAGAGGGGTTCTTTGGATCCCTTGGAAAGCTTTTAGCAAACACTGGGACATCGATGATGGAGATTTTGGGAGGAATATTTCCTGGATTGCGGCGAAAGCCTTTGGATTATGAATATCAAAGTACTCTACAGCAAAAGCATTCAAATGCTTGGCCTGTGCAAGAAAGTTTTGTGATACCGGATGAGGATGAGCCGCCTCCTACCATTGAAACAAGGACCCCCACTCCTCGAAAAACCTATCCTTTCATGTCTAAGGATGCGGAAAAGATGCATCAATTGCGTCAAAGTCGAGTCTTCTACAGCGGTTGGGATGATGATCTTCAGCATCAGCAGAAACAACAGCAGCAGCAGCATCACCACAAGTACCACTCATCTGTTCCGCATACTTACTACGAGCAAAGCTGCGAGAAAACAAATGAAATTGTGTTTGGGGCGGTTCAGGAGCAGGACAGAAGGCGTGAAGCTGTGATCATAAAGCCTGTTGAATATGGAGATCCCGTGTTTGATCATCACAACATTCGCTCCAGAATCAATTCTATGAGCTACAGCTATGGAAAATAATATTATATACATAATAGGAATTCTTAGTTCTCGACTTATTTTGGAGCATAATATAAAAATCCAAAGTCCTGGTCATAGGCAGTATTGGTTATGGGATTCAAGGGAGACTTGGTGCTTCTGAGCATTCGATCTGTATGATGTTGGGTTGTTTACTGGGGTATATTGAAGCCCAAAATAATCAAGGCCATTTATTCAAATATTGGTGGTACAGTACATTATTGGTATTAAAAATTCATGGCAAGCGCTTTTATATATATATAATTGTATATATCTTCCTTGTCAATTTTGATCAAAATTAAAAAATCAAACAAAGGAGGATTTTTCAGATATATATATATTTCCTTGCAATCGGGTAATCAAACCAAAACATATAACAGAAAGTAGAAGCTATTATAGTAGTTGTAGGAAATCTAGAAACTGATAGGAGGGTTTGATAAAAAAGAGGTTCATAGATTTACAAACTTCAAACTAAATATATAAAAGTCATTACAACATGAAGCAGAGCTTTTAAAGTCTCATTTCTTTCATCTTCTTTTGACTAAACCTGAGCTGCCCAACAAAGTTCCCTCTATTAGAGCAGTTTCTTTAGCCACCTCTGCAAAACAGTTAATATTAGTTTTTATCATAGTGTCTATCCTCCCATTCCCATGGCAGTCCGACAAAACAACATCACGTCCCTCCTGATATTCTCCTCCTTGGTCGATCATTTGGGTACTCGCAGAATTTGTTAACTCCAAACTACCATCAAAATTTATTAAGTCCTTCAGTTGATCAGCGTACTTCTGGGAGTTCATCATCTCACTACCACTACCACTACCAAGACCGCTACAACTACTACTATCAACTTTATCACTGTCGAGCATTGCTCGGTCCTTTGGAGAAACTTGGGGTGCGAGATAATTAGTACTAAATAAAAGGGATAGATGAGAAAGGCCCAGCCAAAGGAGCCTCTCCAACAAGGAGAAAACCAAAACGGAGTTAGCAACTGCGCTTCTGATGACGAAGCAGGGTATCTGAACTTGCTTCCCCAGATTGATTAGGCAAAGCTTCCATGTCTCGCTGAAGCACTGCATCCTGGTGCCTTCCTGTCTACAAATAAAACAACAGTTTTTACACCAATATGCAAGCCTTTTGTTTTCTTTTCTTTTTATGCCAATTTCAACGGTATCGCATAAAGGGCACGAAAACACTTACACGAGAGAGGATGTAAGGCCTTACTGCTAACCCAACAACAATCCCAACTATGCATGCCACTACCACTGCTACTACCACACTCCAAACTGAAACTGATCCCAATCCTGTAAAGAAAGTAAAACTCATTGAGATCAATTTCTTGCCGCACTAAAGCAACTGGTGCATGGATTGTTTTTCATATCAAGCAAAGTTGTCAATTGGGCATTTCTTAAAACTCCCATGTTTCGTTCCGCATAACTGGCCATTATAAAGAATTCATAGCCATTAAAGCACAAAACAGTCAAAGCTCACCATGACCGGAACCAGAGCCCCCAACACAATCCTCAGCCTTGAGATCAATCTGCCGCACCAACATAGTCCCGTGATCTGAGACCAGCAACGCGCATTTCTCCGCAACGAAAACCAGCTCGAAATCATTCGAAAACGTTGCGTTCTGTCCTGGCCCATCATCCTTGCCTATCTTCTTGTTCACACCAGCAATTGTACTAACGCCTGTACATATAAATATCCTCAACAAGACAACAATAATCTACAAAACTTCTCATGAGAAATATTAAGAATAAAACAAAACATAGAAAGTGACGCAGAATAAATGAAAAGCAGTGGGACCTGTATCAGTGATCTTCCTAATCACATTGTTCTTCTGATCGGCGACATAAATATTCCCTTTCAAATCTATCGCAAAGCTCTCGGGATTTTTGAACCGGGCCGTTTCCGGTTCACCATCAGAATATCCCGCGACGGTTCCACTTCCAGAAAACCGTTTAACGACACTATCTGCCATTATTACATTTCTAAAATTAAATGTATAATCATATTACTAATAATAAACCATTTAAACCCCAAACCCTAAGCTTTCACGAAAATGGAAAACGTGAAATGGAGGTTCATTTTCATCGGCACCTTTCGAAGTGGGAAGCCGTACAGTGTAGAAGGCACTACCGGAAGAATCAAGGACGACCAAATCAGACGATCCAGGACGAAGCATCACCGAGTGAGGGTTTATCTTGAGCTTGTGGCCGTCGATCACCGTCTTCACCGTGTATCCGTCTTCAATCACGACGACGGCGCCGGCGAACACTGAAAAGACGACAAATTCGAGGGTTCAAATATGCGTAAACCGCAGAAAATGCGAAAAATGAGAGATTTTTGGTTGTGAATGATCGAACTTACAGTGAAGAGAAGCGAAAATGGAGAAGAGGAAGAGAGCGAGGGCAGAGGAATCGGACGCCATGATCGCGCAGTGGTCGGTGATTACAGACAGTGCAAGCAATTATGAAGGAAGGAGAAGCTTGCGAGAGAAGGAGAAGATGAAAGTGAGTAACTTTTGATTGACTGATACATCTGAACCGTAGGATAGTGCGCTCTGATTTTGGACGTAGGATCAAAAAACATTTTTTTTTGCTAATCATCAGGATTTAAAAAAGAGTAATTTCTCCAATTTTATTTTTCTTGAGTATTTGTTTAAAAGGAAATTCTTTGCATTGCATGAGGGGTGAACTAGTCTTTATCATTATTTCATTTTATTCTCTGTCTTTTTACTAATGCGCATATAAAGGCTGTGGTCCCAATTTTGTTAGTTTTAATTTCCTTTATTCATGTTTCCAAGAAACGGTTATAACCCATGTGGGAAACCGTGGCTGAGGGCCTAGGAGGCTATAAGAGGTCTCTGTAAAGAATATTACACAGGATGAATATACTCATTTTTCTCTATTTCATTTATCTTTGCTATCTTGTACCATTCTTTTTCTTCGGTCACCATAGCTAGAAACAGGCGAGGAAGGGGCCGAGGCACCGCGGGAACGGGGGTCGATAACAACTTGGTATCAGAGCCAGACATGGCTGACGACCAGCGTTACCAGTGCCTTGAGCAATAGGTCGCGTCTCTTAGCATTGGACAAGAAAGGGTGTTGAAGCAGATGAACGATTTCTTCCAGCTGATGTAGACTCGGGAGGAGGCGTCCGCGTCGAACCCGAGGGAGGCTCGACCAACAGCTACCGGAGAGATGTCGACAGGATCCGTACTGGCGAAGGCAGTAAGGTTGGAATTTCCACGGTACGATGGGAGGGAGGATCCCATCATCTGGTTGTGCCGAGCAGAACAGTATTTCGAGTTCCAGGGGACAGACGACATGGAGAAGGTCCGGTTAGCTTCGTATCACATGGAGGGGGACGCCCAGATTTGGGTTCAGAGGAAGAAGATGCTCAGAGCCCAAATGGGGTGGGAGGAGTTCAAGACTGAGCTGATGTTGTGGTTTGGGACGGCTCCATACGAGGACGGTTTTGGAGAGTTATGTAAATTGCAGTAGAGTTCCACGGTGAGGGAATACCAGAGCCGGTTCAAGAGGTTGCTGGGAAAGGCGGGCCCGCTCACGGATGAGCAGGAAACGGCCTGTTTCCTCAGTGGGCTGAAGGAGCCCTTGCGGGCTGATGTAAGGGCCCAAAACCCCACTACTCTGTCGTTCGCCATATCACTGGCCCGCATCTATGAGGGAAAAAAACAAGAAGGCAGGACAGGGGTCGGTGAGGGCAAGCATTCCCCATTTTTCAAAAAAAAATTTAGCTACGGAGGTAGGCCCCCTGAGGGGGAGGAAAAAGCAAATCCACGACCGGAGGTCGCAGTAAGGCGATTTACCCCCGCGGAACTAAAACAAAGAAGGGAGCAGAGGTTGTGCTTCCATTGTGATGAACGGTACACCTTCAATCACACCTGTAAACGGTTGTTTTTGATCGAGATCGAAGAAGATTCCACGGAAGGAGAAGAAACTGAGGCGGTGACGGAAGAAGAAGAAGGGATTAAGCCGGCGATTTTTCTGAATACCATGGTAGGGATCACCGTGCCCCAAACGATGCGAGTGATGGCAAGGATTGGAAAGGTAAATCTCACGGTGCTCATTGATACAGGTTCCACCCATAATTTTTTGCACGAACCATTTGCCAGGTTAATCGGACTACACACGGAGAAAAACTTGTCGCTACGAGTGGTGGTGGCTAACGGAGAACGGCTACGGAGTCCGGGAGTGTGCAGAGAGGTAAATCTCAACCTCCAAAATACTTTATTCCTCGTAGATTTTTATCTAATAGAGTTAGAAGGGTGTGATGCGGTTCTGGGGGCCCACTGGCTGAGGACTTTGGGTCCCATAGTCTGGGATTTTGAGGCCATGGACATGAGATTTAAGGTAGGGGAGTCTGAAGTTAGGCTAGAAGGGGTGGGGCAGGTAGAAGCTAAGCAGGTAAGGGCGAGGTCCATAGACCGATTCTTAAAAAAAAACAGTGGATCAGGAATGTTGTTGCAGATTCACTTAATGGACGAGAGACTAGGAGAATGGGACAAAAACAGGGAATGGGAACCGTGGGCCAAGAGATATCCCACCGTGTTTAGGGAGCGTAAGGGCCTTCCTCCCCAAAGGGACAAAGATCATCGGATTCCCTTGTTACCAGGGAGTGGTCCAGTGAGTCTGCGACCCTACAGATACCCCCATTTTTAGAAACATGAGATTGAGAAGATGGTCGATGACATGCTACAACAAGGAATCATACAAGCCAGCAGAAGCCCCTACTCTTCACCCATTTTGCTGGTCAGGAAACATGATGGAACTTGGCGGTTCTGCGTAGATTACATGGTGTAACACCCTGAAGAATTAATTGAGATTAATTAAGGTAATTAAGATTATTAGTGTGCCTAATCTGGATTATTAATTAAGTTTAATTAATAAATGTTTCTGACATGTGTAAATTTAAATAATTCCAAGGTATTTAAATATTCTGAGTAATTTTATTTTTAAAGCAGAAGTGTGTATGGGCGCATTTCTGGACTGTCATTTTAAATATTTTGTCATATGTCTTTTCTTTCCTTTTCTTCTTTTTCTTTTCCTTTTCTCTTCCTTCCCGTGCATTCACACACACTCTCTCACTCTTTCTTCCGTGCTCTCTCTCTCCCTCTCTCTCTCCCATTTGTGTCTCAAATCAAAACCAGATTCGAACCAAGAGTGATTTCAAAGAGTTTTCAACGTCAAGAGAAGGATTCGAGGTAAGATTACTGAAAGAACCTTTCTTGAATCTATGTTTTTCAGATTTCAAAACTTATTTTGGTTCAAACCGGATTTTTGATGATTTTGAGTAAAACTAGAGTAGAAATTGGAGATCTTGGGTTCTTTGGACTTGTTTTAGGACCTAGAACCCGGATCTAGTGGTTTCCCTTTGAAATATTTGGATTTGGGACTGAATTTGCAGGTTTTTGGACTGATTTCCGTGAGCTTCTCTCGCGCAGTCGATTCCACCGGTCGACCTGTGCGGTCGACCGGATTGCAGGCTGACCGGTCGACCGGTCCGGTCGACCGGTGTGCACATTACCGGTCGACCGGTAGTGTTGTACTGCTTTGTTACCGGTTAACCGGTGGACACGGGTTTGACCCTGTTTGGCCTGAAAAGTGTTGTTTTGACCCCTGTTTTCGGGGAGAACCCAAATTAACTTCATTTGGGGACTTGGGATGAAAGGATTAACATCTTTAATCCCTGATTTGATATTAAAACCCTTGGAATGGAATTTGAAACATGAAAATGGATTAGGGCACACTAATTGAAAATCTTGGTACATAAGTGAGATTGGATTGCTTTAGGAATGAGAATTGATCCTAAAGTGTTAT